GGTTGGGGGATGGAGGATGTGTGACCAGTGACAGAGGCGGGGTTCATTCTTCAGAGTAACCCTGGCCTCCTGACTCAGCCAAGGAGGTCTGTGAACAGGACTCCAGAAGCCTGTAACTTCTAGTACCATCAGCATAGCGGAGAGATCAGGCTTTCAAATGAAATTCCAGGATCCTTAGGGCAAGAAGAGTTCATTGTATTTAACTTGTTTGGAGCTGAGAACCAGGGTTAACAGGCTTGGCTCAAAGGGTATCAGCAGCAGGGTTGTTTTTTTTTTAATTCTTAAATGTTTTATTGTGATTTATGTGATAGTTTACATGGGAGAACGTTAGTCTTACATTCATTCTATGTAGATCGTCTCATTGCCATGGTTATAATCCCCTCCATGCAATCCTTCCTCCTATCCCCCAGGTCTTCAGCACACAGTCACTCTTCCTCTCTGGATCTAAAGAGCAGCAGGGTTTTTAATCCAAGGTCACAAACTGTCAGAGAAGAGGGGAAATCAAACCAGCGAAGGATCTGGGTTCTAGTTCTAGTTCTTGCTTTACCAGTAGGAAAGTGCTTGGTTTCCTCACTGGTCAGCAGGGGGGTATGGGATTGAATAACTATGTTCTACTGGCTTTTCTAATATTGTCTATTTACCAGGATTCCTTTTCTGAAGGATTTTGCACTTTTTTTTACATTCAAATATATATATGTGTGTGTGTGTGTGTGTGTTGTTGTTGAGTGCCATCAAATCAGTTCCGACTCATAGCAACTCTGGATAGGGTTTCCAAGGAGCATCTGGTGAGTTTGAACCACCGACCTTGTGGCTCAAACTGACTATGCATTCCAGCGCATTGAACTCGCAGTGTCACACCAGGACCCCCCTTGTAACCTCTGTGGGAGCAGTTCTCTGTCTCATGGGTCACTATGAGTCAGAATCAATTTGCTGACAACCAACATGCGTTCTTGTTTTGCCTGAACAAATCCAGCCTCTCAGAACCTAAGGGAACTAATCCTCACACCATGCCATGTAGTAGGAATTCTTTCTCAAGATTGAGGAGATTGAGGAGCAATGAATCTGAATACATACAGTTGTTAAGTGCTGTTGAGTAGGTTCCGAGTCCTAGAGACCCTGTACAGGGTTTCCAAGGAGCGACTGGAAGGTTTGAACTGCCAATCCCGTGGTTAGCAGTCCTCGGAAACCCTATACAGGGTCATTGGAACCAACTCGATGGTCACTTCACAACAACAATATCTGTGGCAGCAGATCACCACAGGGCTGCTGAGTGGATTTGAACCACCAGCCTTTTGGTTTGTAGCTGAGCACTATCTGGGCTGCTACATGCAGCTGTAAATGTTTTAAATCAAGGGAAAGTGACTCGGAAGTGACACCCCCACACTGTTCAGTGGGCATCTGAAGCAGCTCCACTTGTTTTCAAACAGATGCCAGCTTACAAATGTCTTCCTTCTCCCTGCAGCTGGTTAGTAGGCAGTGCTGATCTTTGTACCAGCAAGGTGTGTGGGCAGTGCCTGGACACTGCTTAGGATGAAGACTGGAGATGGAGTCATGCTCCTCTTCAAAGGAGACGCTGCCCACTGACTTCACATATGTGTGCTATCTACCCCCCTGCTACTTCAAAGGCATCTGTGACACCCTTTAAATTCTGCTGGCTAAACTAAGATTGAAAAGGGAGTAAAGTTTCATAGCAAGGATCTGCTTGGACACAATCCCACTTTTATTTCAATTCTTCTCCATGGATTTGTGGTTTTTGCCTTTCAGCTTCATAGCAAGGCTTTTGTTTTTTTTGTTTTCTTTTTTCTGTCAACGAACAGTTTGTTCTAGAAACAGACAGGTTGCACATCTGGAAGTGGTATGGAATAGCCATATGCCAAATGTTCCTTCAGTCTAGGAGCTGAGGTGAGTGGGTAGCCTGGACAAGAAAACTTTGGGGGCCTGGCTTTGTACAGTGGCACTACCCCCCAACCCCCACTCCCATCTGCAGTGAATGGGCACTTACATGGCAGTGCTGTTTGGTAATAATGATGAAAATTTACTGCCCAAGTTTTTTACTGACAAAACTAAGATATTGCAGGATGCTTAATGTTAAATACTTTTGGACTTGAAAACTTGCAGCCACATATTTGACCTTATTGGAAAGCTTATTAAGCCTAAGAATGAAAACGGAACCATCTGGGGGTTCCCACTGTGAGCAGGAATGAGAAACCTGGTTAATGGTGTGTCTACTTCAGTCTCTCTCTCTAGCTGAATAGCTGAATTTCTGGGGAAGTGTCTGAAACTTAATCATCACCAAGCTCTAGCAGAGCACCTGGCATGCAGGGCTTGGTGTAACAGGGAGGCAGCAACATCAGAGAGGAAAGTAGTGTGCTTCCACCACAGGTTCGGGCAGACCCAGCTCTACCATTAGCTAACTCTGAAGATTTCAGTACCAGTCCTGTGGCCAACTCTGGGTGCTTCACAAGTTACAGCTACCATGGAGTGAGTGGGTAAATGGATGAATATGAGCCAGTCAGTGTTCAGGATTGTAAAAGGGAAGATGTTAGAATAGATGGACGAATCACTAACAACAAACAAACCTCAAAGCCTTGGGTGGAAGTTCTTTACATTCCTATATGGCCCACATTGCTAGGGGTGTCTGTCTCATCATTGGGTTTGGGGCTGGAGGGACACCAGGGAAGAAAGAAGCTGCCCTAGGAATTGAAGGACTGCTACTGAGGGGCAAAGGGAGAGAGGAGACGCCTAGAACTCCAAGCGCCCCTCGGCTGCCATGCCGTGCCTCTGACGCCCAGAGACTAGAGAAATTGCAGACTTTAAAGACTTCGGCTATCTTGGTAAGGAGTTCTAGTGGCTCTGTGTGTTAGGTATTGGGTTTCTAACTACAAAGTTGGTGGTTCAATCCCAACAGCCCCTCCTTGAGAGAATTATGAGACTGTTTGCTCTGGTAATGATTTATGGTCTCAGAAACCCCTTATAAGATCGCTGGGTGTTGGTGATGGTTATGTGCCATGGAGTCGGTTCCGACACAAAGCGATACTGCACAGGGTTTTCGAGGCTGTGTATCTTTACAGGAGCAGAAAGCCTCATCTTTCTCCTGTGGAACAGCTGGTAGTTTCCAACTGCTGACCTTGAGGTTAGCAAGCTGACTCATAACCACTACCAGAAATCCTTGGTATAGGATTGCTGTGAGTTAGAATTAACTTGATGACAGTGGGTTTTGGGGTTTTGTTTTGTTTTTTTCCTTTGGTTTTAGTTTCTTGGTAGCTCTCCACTTCTGTTTTAATTTGTTCCTATTTCCTTAACTGGGAAATCATTTAAAAGTCTTCAAAGGATGGCTGGCTTCATTAGGATCAAGCAAGATGAAGACTATTTGAAGCAACTCTGCTGCCCTGGTGTAAAAGTTGGAGGCTATCGGAAGCCACCAAGGCACTGCTGTGACAGAAACTGGTGACTGTCTGACTCTAGCATTTCCCCACAACTCCCACAACTAACGTCCTGGCAGGGCAGCTGTATAAAGCCAGCCTTGAACGCTGAGAACTCAAAGGCATTGTGAAAGGGCTGCCTTACCCTTTTCCTTCTCAGGAACTGTCCCCAAAGTTCAATTCCTCTTGCCACAGTGGGTGACAGGCCCACCTGAGATCTCAACTCATCAGCAAGCAGCTGAGGGAGGTTGGGGATGTGGTGGCATTTGGCCCCAACTTCCCCTGACTCACAAGTTCCTTTCTCAGTGAAACCACCTTTGTGTTCTCAGAGGCCAGATGGAGAGCCCTCCGGGTCTGCCTGGCCCTTTTTTGTCCCAGAGTCAGTATTGGAGAGGTGAGGGAAGGGTCCGATTGATGATGCCTGTGACCTTCCTTCCTCAGGCCTCTCCCCTGCACACACATTACCAGGGCCTCATGGGAGAATAGTGAGTACCTCGCAGAGGAAGCTGGGCATGGAGCTCAGAGATCAGAGTGTGATCATCAAATTGAGTCCCTTTTAAAAATCTCAGACTCAGGCGGCCATTAGAAACAATGAGTGTTCTTGGTATTTTATTAAGAAATTAATTAAGAAAATAACTGGTTATCTGGTTAATAACTCCTCTGCACACACTACACTGTGCATCCACCTAAGGTGGTGGATGTCTAACTGACATGCTCAGCTTGCCTGGTTCTCAGTCAGCTCAGTTCTAACTCAGTGACCCTCCCATCTACTCAAGGACAAAAGGGGGTGGGGGGGTTTCCATGTGGATGCCAGGGCCTCAAAGGTCAGCTGTGCATTGCTCCTTTTGGAGGTTGGTATCGATGTTTCCGTCTTCCTGGGGAAGGCACCTTGGCCTTTATGTAGTATTTGGCCTTCCAGAGGAGGTCAATCATGCAAAAATGTCAGCACTATGAAGACATCATCCTCTCTCTTAGACCAGCCAAGAGGGCAGCTTATGACAAGCACTTTTCTTGGCACCAACTCTCCACAAGACATTGGGTGACCGAAATTCCCACACTGTACATAACTCAATCTATAGGTGTGAATTAGGAATAGCGGAACTTGTGTGGCAGCGTGGAGGGGGATGGGAACAGTTCAGGTAAAACTATTCTCATTTGTTGAGCATCGTTTTCCCTAGAAGCTTGGCACTAACTTTATGCCAAGCCCTCAAATCCTCCATGAAGACATTGGTAACCAACTCATCCCATTGGTCTTCTGTATGAATGGAGACTGGCCTCCTCTGTCCTCCTCAAAGTCTTACTCTTTTAGTTTCAGATAAAAATAATTGTGGGTCTGCATTAAAGTGTCTTTATAGTATATTCACAACATCTAAAACAGCTCACGAGATACTGTTTTCTGGCAAAACTTCCAGCAGTTACTTAGCGAGTTTTCCCATCAGGCTTCTGCAGGGGAAGATAATGTGCATCATCAGCCAGTGGATGCTTTACAGTCCCATGTCAGCAGACCCCTTTAAGACATCCAAAATGAGATGATGGCAGAATGAAATCTCTGCCAAAGAGACTCCCAGGGCAAGGAGCTCAGAAACAGATAATGCGCTTTTCATCTTCAAACACTTTGGCCTCTTCTGGGTTTATCAAGTTCCCATTTAGGCTGTTGAAACAGAGAAACAAAGAACACAAATGAAATGGTAAAGATTTGTACAGCTCTCCCAGTATGGATTCTTTACACACCCTGGTGCCACTCAACAATGAAATTAAGGAATAAACCCTATGCAAAGACCTCTTTCCTGTGTAGCCAATTAATTACCAACCAGACATCTTCACCTGGCTGTCTCACCATACCTTAAAGTGACCACATCTCCCCAGGGTCCCTAGCCCTGTGACCTGCCTTCAGGATTCTCAACCCAGTGAGTGGTCATCATTCATCTAACCATGTCAGTTGTAACCTGGGGTCAAACTTGGCACTTCTTTCTCATCCTGATATTCAATCTATCACACATCTATTTTCCCCCCCTATGAGTCAGAACTGACTCAGGGGCATAGAGCCACCACTCACCCTAAAACTCCCTAGAATTTCTCTCAGGAGCCACTGCCATTTTTGCCACCACCATCTTTGCCACCACCATCCTGGACTGAGTACCCATTTCCTCTTCTCTGGACCACTGTAGGACTCTTCACAGGTACTCTGACCTTCTCAATCCAGAGTGGTCTTTTTACAATTCAAATCTGAGCATCCCTCTCCAGCTTAAAACCCTTCAGTGATTTTCCAAAAAGACTAAAAAGACCCACTGATCTTTTGTGGTCCATCTCTACCTACCTCCTTGGCCTCCTGTTGCCCCTCTCTTCCACATTGCTTGAACCCTATGGCACATCAGCCTTCTTGCAGTTCTTCAAGGACAACA